GGTAGTAGCAATTAATCAAATTCCCAAACTTTAGTGCTCAATTAAAATCTATGGACAAACCTTTCTCTCCATTGGTTTTACGCTGATGGGTGGTAGCTTGGGTAGGCTACTTGAATCCAAAGCTTTGAGCTCTCTCCTCATGGTGAAGTCATGAGCGCATGCATCTCTCTCTTTTCGCTTTCCACTCTAAAGACAGACAAAAATAATGAGATATGGATATTTTTTACAACAATCATTCTGATTTTTGGTGGTCAGATGTCAGCCACCGAAAAGTCTGTCAACATCATTTGGTAACAGTAAATTCACTAAATACTGGGGCCTAATTATCAATGTGGCTCATGTTCTCCCTTTTTTGTCTTTTTTTTTTATAGCATGCTTAAAAGCACTTCATGCACTTTCATCCTTCTGTTAACTAACAACTAATGAAATATTCTCATACATAACTAGTAAAGAATAAAAAACACAGCCTGTGCCCCTATGACATACATATTACTCGTAAAAAGCAAGAAAGAAATATGATAAGATTAGTAGAATCGAATTTTACATTCGATTAATTTTCCATTCTTTTCATTTATAGTTCGAACTGAATCAGTTTCTGAATCAGACAAAATGAATCAGTTTCTACGATAAGTTTCGAATCCACGACTTCGCACGTGACCTCGTGTAATATAAGGTAAACGTACAACCGAGCAAATCTACTGGTATAAAATTCAACACGTGATGACGCAAGAACGTTCGTTTGGAACTCGAGTTCAAAGATTCAAAAAAATCGATTCGTTCGAAATGGTCTCGCTCGTTTCTATCATCCCTAATTCGAACGAGTCGATTCGACCGTCACTCCCTGTAAGATTCGGGTTCTGTTACAAGTTCTGACTCACCTTTTTGGTTTTGTGTTTCGAGTCCATTTTCACGTCTTCCGCGCAGATCAGTAAAACGAGAAATGAAGAAATTCCAGTCGGTCTTCACTTTTATAGCCCACTGTGAGTGTGGATGACGTCATAATACCGTTCGAAAGGGTCGCCGATATACGTAACAATGGCAACAGTTCTGCGGCCAGAACAATCATACCAATCACACACACACACACACACACACACACACACACACACACACATATATATATATATATATATACATATATGTGTGTGTGTGTGTGTGAATAAATAAATAAATAATAAATCAAAAAAAAAAAATTTATATATATATATATATATATATATATATATATATATATATATACACACATATATATATATATATATATATATATAAACACACTGTGCTGTCCACAAATATTGGCACCCCTGGTAATCATGAGCAAAATGAGCTATAAAAATATAGACAGCCATGCAGGAAAGTTCCTCATCCCCACTGTGAAGTATGGTGGTGGATCTGTGATGCCAAAAGCCCTGGACAACTTATTCAGATACACGGTATCACAGACTTCATCAACTAATAGCAGAGATAAAATCAAAACCTGACTGTCCCAGCCACGAAGCATAAACTGGGCCATAATTTGGATGTTCCAGCAGGGCAGTGATCCAAAGCACACCTCAAAATCAGCCAAAAATGGGTAACTGACTTGACTGACACAGCCATTTTGCCATAGCTACCCCAGTCCCCTGACCTAAACCCAAAGAAAACCTGTGTGATGAGCTAAAGAGGTGAATCCACAAGCGTGGACCTCAGAATCTGAAGGATCAATAATAATAATAATAATAATAATAATAATAATAATAATACCAGCCTTGTGACCGGAAGGTCGCCGGTTTGATCCCTTGAGCCGACTGCTCCCCAGGCTGCCCACCGCTTTGGGCAGGTGTGCTCACTGCCCCATTGTGTGTGTGCTCACTGGTGTGGATGTGGGTGTTTCACTGCACGGATGGGTCAAAATGCAGAGGTGAAATTTCCCTGTTGTGGGACTAATAAGGGTCTTTTAATCTTAAAACTTTTCATGCCAGTGGCAAAAAGCCTCATAACAACCATTTTTTTCATATGGCCAAAAGTATATGTACATTTGACATACTGTTGGGCATATAGTATATGTAATCTCCCATTGAAGCATTGTGTAATTTTGCCCCCTAAATACTTTTTATGCTGTTAATGAACTACTAAACAACTAATAACCTTTTCTTTTGATTAGAAATGAACTAAAATCATACCAGATTTGTTTTCAATTGAAAAGTTTTGTTTAGCAGTTCACAATGTTACAAATACATAATCTGAATTGACTGGGTTCATATCAGCACATTTTGATACAAAACCACTGCCTCTACGTACAGTGACTGGTGTAAACATGAACATTTACGCCCTCTAGAGGAGCCTGAGTGTCAGGACAGAGCAGGAAGAACAGCTCTCATTAACAACAAAATGCAGATGCCTCATTCTCTCACACTAACATCACATACCCCATGCATAATAATACAAATTCAGTCTTTTGAAGGAATTAATAAAGCAAAATAAAAGCTCGTGCTTTGGCACGTTTGTAAAGTGATCAATGACAAAGACATCACAATAATCCTCAGACTCATCTTTGCTGATTTTTTCTCACTTTTAAAAAAGGATCTTGAGTTAAGTGATCTTTAACATTGTATTTAAACATGGGATCAATGGGAATTCACTGTGAAAAACTGGTTATTTATTTTTTTGTCAAAACCTTGATTATATAAGTCACCACCGTCATTGTGGTTAATTAGCTCAAGCACTGAAAATATGAGAGAAATCTAACATTTACTTGAAGTAAATGTGATCTAAGAAAACAAAAAAATTTATGTTTTTTTAAACAAATCACATTTCACAATTACTGGCACCCCTGCATTTAGTACTTTGTGCTGCCTCTATTTGCCAATATAACAGCCAACCTTGACCCAGTTTTAGCTTTTTTGGAAGAGGCAGCCAGGTTTTCCTTTAAACTCTCCTGGTATTTCATGCAGTTCATGATGTTATTTATCATAACAAGGTTCCCAGAGACTCTCAGCCCCAAAATATCAAAGATCCTCCACCTTATTTCACAGTGTGGATGAGGTTCCTGTCCGTGTAAACATCCCTCTTTTTACACCAAACACAGTTTGAATGTTTGCTGTCAGAAAGCTGTTTTTGTCTCATCTGAATCTGGTTCCAGTCAAAGTCCCTGTAATGTCTACTGAATTTCAGGTGCTTACATTTGAGGTTATACAAAATCCTCTTCTTCTGGCACACATTCTAAAAAGTTTCCTGGCATGTAGGTGGCGTCTAATTGTATCTTATGGGGACTTGGTGACCTGAAAATGCTGCTGTCATCTCCAAATGTCCAACTGTGAAATTTCCTACTGTGCATGAGGGTGAAATACATGTGTATCCTCTTCCAGGCAGGTTCACTACAGCTCTGGTTGTTTAAACTTCCTAATTATTGGCCTATTAGTGTATATATACATTTACAGGCATGAAGCCACTGCCTGATTTATAACAATAATAATAAACATAATACATTTTATTTCAAGCACCTTTCAGAGCAGCCAAGGACACTGTATAAAATGTTTAAAAATATTACCTGTGTTCTGTACTACTATGAAATTTAGCATCAAAATGACAGCAAACTTACTGTACTAATTAACTATCAGTCTGCATAAAAACAAAGATTTTAGTTTTAGATTTAAAAGCACTATCAGAGCCTATGGTGGACTGAGGAAGGGTGCTTAAGACTTTGTATGTAGGAAGCAGCAGAAGAGAATGGGAGTGATATGGTCCCAGGGTTTGGTACGGGTCAACATCCTGGCTGCTGAATTTTATATGTACTGTAGTCTATAAATTTATCTGGAAGCCCAAACAGGATCCCACTGCACGCGAGAAAAAACAAACGCATGTAAAACATTTCAGCTGCTGATACCGTGAGTTTAGGACAGAGGCAGATTGTGTTCTTAAGGTGGGAAAATACTGTTTTAGTGATACTATTTGTGTGTGGTTGAAAGAGAGAGCAGAATCAAATAAAGCCTCAGTCTGAAAGTTTGAAACCAAAATAGCAGCATGTTGAGTGGATCCATTTGCAAAGGGAAGTGGGAGAAGCCTTAAGTACAACCTGTGTCTGTTCGCTATAATACCTAAGATAATTACTGCTCATGCATGTTTTTACCTCCTGGAGGCAGACTAAAACAGCTAGAGGTGAAGGTTGGTCAGTAGGCTTGGTATGGATGTAGATTTGGGTATCATTAGTTTAAAAAAAAAAGACTGTATTTATGGAACATTTGCCCATGTGATGACATATAAATAGAAAAAAGTAAATGTCCTAATCAAAGTCAACATTTTTATCTCATTTCATTTGTGTATTCTCTAATCTTCTTCACGTTGATGAATAACTAAGGGAATTTGGCCTCGGTTTCACCTCATACGACACAGTCGTGGATGACCACTTAAGTGTGCTTGAGCAGTAAAGTGCACTTAAATACTTCAATTAAAGGTGAAATTTCTCTCATATTTTCAGTGAGACTGAGCTATTTAACAACAAAGACATTTGTGAATGACCTTTTTACTTAGGGTGCCAACAATTACGGAGCTAACTGTATCTTAAGTGTGAGCCATATATCTTCACAATGCCCTATACTTTTGTCTGTTTATTTCTTCTGATTCTGCAGCCTTCTTTTCTAACACTAGTAGTTGTTTAGTTCTCATATCTTACAGGCACCGCAGAAATAAAGCCTCCGGTTAAGACTTGCTGTTTGCAGGTGTACATGAGCATACCTGCCTAATAAGAACAACTGTCCAGATATTTTTGCTTAACCTACATACTTTCAAATGAACAAAAGGCTCCACCTAGTATGCTTACTCATGCACCATATGTTCTCTACTATCTTAATTCTTGAGTAAACAGGCAATCCTGTCACTGTCTAATATGTTCATTTGTCATGACTAATGAAATATTAATACTGTACTGTTTGACATAAGAAGACGCTTAATACAACTTTTCTTAAGTGTTTTAAAAAAAGGTTCCGTCTATTCATACTGAAAAGTAACTGAAGACTGAAAAATAAGACCAAAATGTTTTATTGCCTTATCAAAGCACGTACAATTTGTTGCATGTAACATATAGCATAGCGAATACAAACAGCATCCTGCATTTTCCTGCTGTGACTTAACTGGCTGCACAAAATCCACCTCAAATGTTTCCGATATCCTTCTGGTCTACAGTCTAAAAGGTGCAAGTTTTATCCATATTTGCTGCAAGTCATAGACTTTTGGTATATCATTTTTCAAGAATATGGCAAAAACTCTGTAAAGCAGCACAGTCTCTATTATTATACACATTTTGCAAATATGAACCTCATGCCATCCAAACAAGAGATTTACATCGCATCCACTGCCAGTATGTAAATCTTCAGGAAAATGCTCATATCTGCTTATAGCCACTATGAAACAAGTTTTAAAGCAAATCTACATTAAGTGCTGTGTAAGACGAGAACCATTGTTTAGTGCTCTACTGCCTATTAGTTCTGCAGCTGAAGGAATGAGTGCTTGAGCAATAGATGGAAAAAATCCATTCCCTTTAGCCAAAGGTGGAGTTGTTCCATGCAACATTCGCCGCCTCCATGTCAAAAAAGTTTATGTAGATCCTGAAACACAACCACAGAGAAGAGTTTGTAAAAACAGGTGGCATAAATGCATTGTTCAAAAAGATAAAGCAATGGTATAGGACAAGAAAAGCTATGAACTTGCATAGTTAACAAGACACTGGCTTAACAAATGCTCAAAATGAAAACTGAATATTTACATAGTTTATAATTAATGCAATCCTTAATGAGATCAGCCATGAGAGTTTTTAGTATTACAGACTAGGGATGCACGGATATGAGAATTGTGGGCGATGCACATATTTTTCTAGTGTATCACCTGTAGTGGCAAAAAATAACATTTATTACTATAGGATTACTAATGTAGTAAAAATAAAAGTAGATATTTTTACACAATCAGCCCAGGATCGCTCTTCTTGGGTAGAATTAATAAGTTATCAAAAATTTCAGTCAAATCTAAACATCTGTCTGATGCTGATATTTGCTCATAACATCTCCTGATAGCGATTTTATTCCAATATCATTGTGCATCCCTATTAATGACAGTCTAACCAAGATTAATGAATATCTAACTAATTAAAGAGAAAACGTGTGAGGCAAATACCTGTCTGGAGAAATGCCAAGGTGTTTGTTGAGGGTGCCCATCAGCAGCTTGGAATACTGCTTGTTCAGTGATCCTCCAATCTTTCCGATGCTGTGGAGTGAGCAGAGAGCACAGGGATCCGATTTGCCCCCAAACATCATCATCTGATCTGGGATGATGTGCACGGCGATGTACTAATGCACAAACACAAACACACATACAGATAATATACACTTAGATTGATACAGGACAATATTCATAAGCAGTGATAGAGAATATAACCATTGGGTGGGCAATAATCACTATATTTCTATATCAGGATTACAGCACAATATACTTTTCTGAGCCTATTGTGGATGTTGGTGGATGTTGCTGGTACACTGACTAACTGCATGTTTAATTATAAAGAGAGGATACTTAGCTCTGTTTACGTGGATTTAATGCTGTATAATTTCTGCGCCAAATACAATTGGGAGTTTTTTTACGCACATTATCCACTTCCACTAAAATAAATATATATATATATATATATATATACACACACACACACACACTTTAAAAGATGGTTCTTCACAGGTTCTTCAGTAAATACAGTGGTTCTACTTCATGCTTAAATGGTTCTTCAGATTGACTGATAATGTGTTTCATATAGAACCTCTTTTAAAAACAAATCCATGCAGCACCAAAAAGGGATCTTCTATGGTTACAAGCTATATATATATATATATATATATATATATATATATATATATATATATATATATACATACACACACACACACACACACATATACATATATATACATATACATATACACATATATACATACACACACATACACACACACACACACAACACATTCCTCATCAATCTGAAGAATCATACCACCATGCAAAGAACTATTTAAGCATGAAATAGAGATCATGGTTCTTAACAGAACCATTGCTTTTACTAAAGAACCCTTGCAGAACCATCTTTATTTAAGTGTGTATTGTATCGTAAAGTTTTTTTTACCATATCGCCCACCCTTAATTACCACTGACTGCAAAAAAAACTGTAGGAATGAGGCTAAAAACAGCATCTGTACTCCTACACTGCTCTTAGCTAGAACGTGACTGAGAAGAGCAGGTCAATGGTGGAGATGCCTCGTAATTCTGTCCCATTCAAATGATTTCAGCCCCAACACCAATCCTGCTTCTCGGGTGCATATTTTAGATATTTTAGTGTCCATCACCCACTTTTAGACTCCATGAAGGGTTTGGAAACGAGCTGATGAATCTCAGGTCTGCTACAGCAGGGATGAGACATCAGAGTCTCCTAGATGAATAGCAAGATGTGTTCAAGATTATATAACAATCCAGTTTGTCTGGATTTACCGCTAACGTTACCGGACGATTCATCGACTGAATGCCGTCACTGCTCACTCATCAGGCCTACATACGACGAGGCTGAAGTTGGCTTGCTATTCGCCAGCTCCTTGTTCGAATTTTCCCGTTCCACCTTAAATGGTGCAGCAGCTACATTCTGGCGCCTCTATAATTACTATGTCAATGTAGTTGCTGCACCATTTAAGGTGGAACGGGAAAATTCGAACAAGAAGCTGGCGAATAAGAACCTGACTTCAGCTTCATCTACAGGCATGTGCGTGTTCATCCGTACTCACGTTGGCGGGTTTCCCCGTTGCCTTGGCGAGCTCCTCAGTGAGCTGAGACAGCAGACCTGCAGGAACCGCATCTTTCGACACGTTTGTGTTCACCACGAACATCGGCATGGCGGCAGATTCAGTGTTAAAACCGTGCAAGACTAAAATAAAGCTTTAAGTCAGGTGCAGAACTGTTCACTGCGCTCTCCTCCTCCTCTGGTGGACTTTCGACAGAACGCTTGAACACTACCTCTGTCCTCAAGTCACGTGAGAAAATACGAGAACGCTAGAAAAGTAGCGCTCGCCCCCTAACGCCCTGAGAGCGAACTGCACACCTGATGACCAAATAGTCTGCAAGTAAAAGGGGAATTCCACTCATTTTTCAAAATTTCCACACAGTTAAATGGTGAGGATGTAAACAGTCATCCAGAGAGATCTGATGTAAAATGCTCTAGAGAATCTTACTGGGTCACAGTTGTTCACAGTGGTGGTGATAGGAACCAGGGGTCCTGATGTCTACAACACAAATATAGCCATTTTATTTACTCTCCCAAAACACCAGTGAACCTACACGAGTCTTCTGAGTTTCTATTGCCTATTTAATGTTGATTGTGATAAAATACTAATAAATCTAAAAAAAAAAAAAATTTTCTTTGGGGACTATTTTGCCTTAGAACACTTTCATGTATCCTTCCATCATGAAAGGCCTAATGTTTTAGGCCAAAATTTTACCAAAAAACTACTGTAACTACTTTCTCAGACATGTGTACGTTCACTAGAGGTTGTGGATAGTAAATAAATGTATACTTTTTGCTGTAGACATCAGGACCTTTGGTCTCTACCAACGTAAACAAATCTGAGTCGGTGAGTTTCTTTGTAATTAAGTATTTCAAAACACACCTCAACAACAGCATTATATGTGTGTATGAATTTGGTGGAAGTCCTCTTTAAACCCAATTCTGGACTACACAGCATTCTGAAAGGATTCTCCATTGAAAGGAAAATAAAGGTGTCCAGACAACTGTTCAACCCCTTGGCTGCATCCGCTACTCTTCTGGTAAGGCTTTACACTAGATGTTGGAATATTGTTAGGAGGAATTGATTGCATTTATATATTAATTTATTTAACTTTTATTTAGACTTTAAAATATACTGAGAAAGAAATCTCATCTCTAAATAAATAAATAAATAAATAGATAGATAGATAGATAGATAGATAGATAGATTAATTAATTAAAAAAAGTCACAGATAAACTGAAATAAAATAAATTACGGCAAAAGATAAGTGCAATAACCATGATGAAAATAATAAAATAATAAAACTTTAAAAACAAGAAAATAAAAATAGGCCAAACAAGCAAAAATAAATAAGTTAAAATTCTACATTTAAAAGTGAGATGAGCTTTAGTTAGTTCTGAATAGTGTTCCTGGATCTACCAAGCTTAGAAAAAACAAGCGTTCAGCTGCAAAGCAGGTACAGATGGTGCATGATTAGTTGTGGAATAGAAACGCCACTCCATTTTATTTCATTAGTTTTGAAAGGAGCTCCTCAGGGGGTCTTATACCCCTTTAGCTGGGGGTGGAGTTTGTTATACCCCTCTATCCGACGCTTGACATTGAGCATGGTGACCTTAGAGTCATGTGTGGCTGCTCCAGAGCGTCTCATTTTATTGGCAATGCTTTTTCATTAAGATACAATATGAATGTGCAATTGAACGACCATGTCAGCAAAGGGTGCAACTTAACGTAGCTGATTTTATTCATTAAAAGGAGTCTCTGTATACTTTCTGATATTTCTGATATTTTTTCTGAATATCTGACATGCCAAACAGTTTAGCATACTATAGTATAATAGTGTGGTATAGTATACTGTAGTATAGTATAGTATGTGAGGCTGTTTCCGGTACTGGAGAAAAATATATAGCCATTTAATAAGTCATAATAATGAGAAAGGTTTTAATAATTATGACCTAGCATCTCAAAAAATATAACATAGCATCTCATATTGATGACCTAGAATGTCATAATTATGACTTGCTATCTCATTCTAATGAGATTTTATCTCATAATTATGACTCAGAATCTCATAATAATGACTTAGTGTATCATAATAATCAGAATGTTTCTCATAATTACAACTTAATATATCTTAATTATCACTATCTCATAAAAATGAAAAAAAAATCATAATTATGCAAATCTAAGTCATGCTAATGAGAAAGTAAGTCAAAACCATGACATCGAATCTCATAAAGAGATACTAAGTTATAATTATGAGATATTAGGTCTCAATTCTGAAAACATTCTCATCATTACGACTGAATGGCTATATATATTTTGTTTTTCCATTGGCGGAAACAGACGTACATAGTAAAGCATTGATTGGTATAGACCTCTTTTCTGTCCTTTACGGTAAATAAATAAATAAAGGCTGCGCATGCGCACAAGCTGACGTCCGGAAACAATATTGTAGACGAGAATGAAGAGCGCTCGAGTTGAGGAGGTGAACCCGACGCGTAGCGGTGTGGCACAGTATTATTTTTCTGCATTCGTGCTCGAACCAAGAGCTTTAAACGTTTGTGTTTTTAAGCGGTGGGTCGTTTAGGAGCTGTCGAGAGAGGCTGAGCCGCTGTGTGTTGGGTTTTTGTCTGTTTTTGTGCGGAAAGCTGAGGAGCAGCTGTGTGTGTGTGGAATATTGTGCTCAGGGCTTTTAGGCTAAGTTACTTTACTTGTTCATTTGGAGTGACAGCGCTTTGTAGAGGTCTAACAGTGAAGCCTGGGAGGCTGAATTACACCCGCAGACTGGACTAAAGTGCTGCAGCCTGCGCTCGGAGCAGATAGCCTTCCGCACAGTAATGCTAAAATGGACTTATCGCCTAAATATGAGAAATGTGAGTGACAGATCGAGAGATAAGGGTGATGGATTGAGAGATAGGGAGTGACTTCAGTGTCACTTTGTGTGAGGAAGCTTCAACTTTCAGGCTCTGACATTGAAGGGTGTTTTGGGGGGGGGGATATTTGTGTTTTTCCCTCGTTAAGCTGATGTAAGTTAGGTTATATGTGCGAACAGTGAGTTAGTCTGACTGAAAGACCTGAGTGTGAAACGATGGCGGACTCTGTGAAAACCTTTCAAGCCCACCTGACCGCCGTCATGGACAGCCTGGTCCGCGCGTCGGTGTGCGAGATCACCAAACTCTTCCAGGACACGGTCAACGACTACTTGGTGGAGATTTCGCTGAACAGGAAAGAGAACGAGGCCCTCAAGTTGCGTCTTCGGCTGACTGAGAACAAACTGAGGAACGAGAGGAAATATGGCATGGCCTGGGCTACGAACCGCCGAGCCGCTGGGCTGCTGGCCTCGGACGACCCGGGGGCCAAAAAACGCAAAGTGGACACGAGTAAGGTCAACTCAGCTCAGTGGTGTGGCATGAAGCTTACTGTCCCGTTCACTTCTGCCTCCTGCCTTTGCGCTTCTAGCTTTCTGACAGCCAACATGGAGTGAGAAGCTGTAATGGCGACCCACTCCTCACTCAGTTCTCAGCTTTTCTCTTCTCTCTCCTCCCTCTCCTCCTTTGCTCTCACGTCTCCCTCCCCCTCCTGATCTCCTCTCCTTTCCCTCTTCCCCTTTTTCTTCCCCCTCCCCTCTCTCCCTCTCAGGAGCCAAGCAGGGGAAGGAGTGGAGCGGTGGCGGCGGTGCTGCTGCGTGGGAGGAGGGGGCCGGAGGAGCGAGGGAGGAGAGGAGGGACGTGTTCCGAGTCCATCTGCCAACTGCGAGAGAGGGAGAGGAGGAGGAGGAGGAGAGGAGACGTGTCTCCGGGGAGAGGAAGGAGGTGGCTGGCATTAAAGAGGAGGTGAGCAGCCAATCGGAGGAGAGGAAGCAGCTCACGGGGAGAGATAAGAGGGAGAGACAGAAGGAAGGAAGGAGGGAGGGAGGGAGAGAGAGAGAGCATGAGAGTGCAAGACATCCAGAAAGAGGGAGATGGAGTAAGGATTGAGAGGTGTGAAAAACAAAGCAGGAGCAGCAGAGAAGACAGCTTAGGAGTTAACACCATGCAACCAAGTGCAACTTAAAAAAAAAACACCTCACTTACTCCACAGTTTTTCTGGTGCAACATATGATCAGTTATTATGGGCAATGATTTCAACACATCTCTCAGTACTTGATAATTGTAACATACTTATAATGGAAGGCAATGGACAGGTGCTTCAGATTCTGGTGTATTGTAAGTCATTGGGTTTTCTTTTTTCCTGTAAGCACTGAGAAATTATTTGCTGTACTAATCAGCCATATACAGATACAAGAGATAAAGCTTAGGTTGAAAAACGCTGAAGTATTTCTTTAAGACTGCGATTCATGGATAACAAGAACTAGGCTGAAACGTTATAGAGTTGCTGCCTCATATGTATTGTCATGCGCTCTGTTGCTTTCTCTCTCTGCTGGTCGGTGTGAGCAGGAGGAGGGCTACAGGTCAGATTCTCTGAGGCTGCTGCAGGAGGCGCTCCAGATGAGCCAGACTGAGACCAGCTCTACCCACGGTGAGCACCGCGAGGCTATGTGTGGGAGAGAAGGCAGGCAAGGCATTATGAAGCTGTATGAGTGGTTTGTGCACAGTGGGGGAAGCAGAATCTTGCAGCTTTGTGCTGAACAGTGGAAATGGTATGATATAGGACTCCTACTGGGGTATTTTATTCCCAGCCAGACATGAAACTTTAGATCTGATTTCACAGTGTCAATAATACAATGTCTGTATGTCACATTTTTAAGGAGAAAAATGAACTATTTGTATGGGAGATTTAAACAACATTATGGCATGTTTCTGTATTCCTGACAGATCCTTGTTCAGATTGGCAAATTTAGATTTTATGCACTATACCTGTGGTGTCTGTTTTCACTTGTAGAGGAATGGAGTCCAGCACAGTTTTGTGATTTCCCATTTCAAACACACGTAACTGCTGTATATTTGACCAGGTGTGTTTTGGCTCAGGACACACCAAGCCAGCTGTTGGATGCGGTCAGGCTATTGGTGAGCATCCTTGGTCAGTTGCGCCTATAGTGGTGTACGGCATCGTTGGTTCTAGCTGGTCCTTATCAGTGCTTTTTTTTGGCCAGTTGAGCTTGTTGAACAGGCTCTGAAAACTACACATACAGATAATAACCTCATTTTCGTCATTAGTGTAATTAGCAAAGTTTTAGCAATAGAAATAGGAATTTTAACTATTTCTGCTATTCAGCTGTCCAACTTCTACTGTAGAGAGCTGCCTTAATGGTGAACTGACGGAAGGTGATCATCAGTCACACATAGTTGGCCTGGGTTTTTAAGTTGGCTTGGTGTGTCTCGGTCTTTGACCAAGGAAATTGCCAAACTATGCTGGGCTAATCTAGGTCCAGAGCTGAACTCCTCTAAGTTATGCAATGTAACATGTATGTTTTTGTTGGAATGATCAGGGGAGCTGGATCCTGCCTCTGTTGGTTCTGGATCAGTTGCGGGCGAAGCGTGGGAGGAGCCACCTGCTCTGTCAGCAGAACCTATGAACAGTGGGGACGAGCTCAGTGGGCTCGAGACTGCTTTAAAGGCGGAACGTGAGCGGGAGAAGGCAGGTCCTCCTGTAGACAGTCCCTCACAAGTCAGGGGCGGAGCCGAAGGTGTGGAATTTATCGGCCTGGACGGTTTGTGCAGCTCTCAACAGGACGTTCCCCCGTCAACACACAAAGCAGAACCCCCCGACATCCCGTCGGCCACTGGGAGCCAGAACGACGATGATGAGGGGGAGGAGTCGGGTCAAGAAGGCGTCGACCCTTTGCATTTCTGTCCACAGTGCGGTGGAGGCTTTAACTCTGCCTCCGACCTTGCGGACCACACGTGCCCACTGGCCGATGAGCGGCCCGTTTCAGTGTTCGGTCTGCGGCCGGGCGTTCAGTCACGCCTGGAGCTTGAAAAGCCATGAGTGCGTGCAGGTGGGTGAACAGCCACACCGCTGCGAACTCTGCGGCAAGCGCTTCACGCACTCGCGCTCTCTGGAGCGCCACCAGCTGGTGCACACAGGCGAACGCCCCCACAGGTGCCCCCAGTGCGGACGCAGCTTCAGCCGCCTAGGCAACCTGGAGCGCCATCAGCGCATCCACACTGGCGAGAGGCCGTATGAGTGTGCCGCCTGCGGCAAGCGCTTCAGCCGCGTGGAGTACCTGAAGCGGCACCAGCAGATTCACAGCGGAGAGAGGGGGGAGAGGAACCCACTGCAGTGTGGCCACTGCAGCCAGACGTTCAGCGACAATGAGCACCTCAAACGGCATCAGTGCTTCTCCAGTGCCTGACGACAACAGCAAGAGACCATAGCCCTAATGCTCCATCCAGTCTTTAACCTCTTAACCTTTATTTGTGAGTGCTTCCACACTTCCATTCCTCATTCCTTTTAATGTAATAATACCTTATTCATTTTGCATTGTTTTTCATGTAGTTACTGAATAATAAGTCTTAGGAGAAGCTTAAGGGGTTAACAGTGAGGGGCTACTTTCTCAGACATGTATTAACCTTTAATATTTCTGACATTTGGCAGATACTTTTATTCAATGTGACAGTTTCTTTGTGGCAAGTACTATTTGGATGGGATTTGTTTTCCATGGGGAGGTGGTGTGATGCCACTTTACCACAGGACGTCTGTAATGTTCATGGCCAGTTCACCTGGGATAAGAATTCTTGGTATAAATGACAGAGATGTGAGTAGCTACTCCATTTTTACGCTGCCTGTACTGCAGGAACGAGTAGAAAACGTGTCAAAATGTTTAGCTGTCATTCAGTTTACCCTTACCATCTGTCTTGCTGTCTTAAGTAAATGCACTCATTAGCATTGTTAATAGCTTGAAAATTCACAGCCAGCAGTAAACATAACTGCATAAAAACACTTTTATCTGTAATTTGTACGTTTTAATGTTCTGAGTTGTACACTTGAGGTCAGACAGTACATATTGGCTTGATTTTAGCCACAGAGTAAACAATTCTTAGACCCTCCATACTTAAGAAACTTCTATTCCACAGAATATTGTACCATCTTTACCAACATGTTGATTGGCACAAGATTAATACAACCTGATAACATCTGTAACATATTTATATGGTTGGCTTTAGAAAGTAAAAGGTGCTGGAATCTTTACTGACACGAGAGCATACAGTCTGTAAGAATGACTTATATGGTGCATTTGAATGGGACAGAAATCACTGAGAAATGGCAGTAAAAGTTGCAATATCTCCCCATCCTCATGTAAAACTAATCCCATCTGAATAGTGCTACTGAGAAGCAGGTGAATGTTACATTAAGTCTTGCCCAAAAATTCTTAATAGCGTGCCATAGTGTTCTTGCCCAGGTGGGGAATTGAAACCCTGGTCTGCCATGTGGCAGGTAGAAGACTTACTCACAGTGCTATACTGACTGCTACATTAAATCTAGTCTTGGAGTAAATTGCAGTGGCACTGGTGTATCATTCTTTTATGATTAAGGCTTGGGAGACTGACCCTAGGCTTATTAGTGGTGAACTTAATCCTAAGGCTTATTATCCATTACCTACTATGAATTACTAAGTAACTACTAAGAAATTACTGTGTAATTTATGTAGTTACAAAAGTGAGGAATGGAAGTCTGGACCCACTGAGGGATTCTTACAGTTCAAGAGGTCAAAGAATATGTTAAACATCTCAATTAAAACATCACACAGGAGCCAATGAAGAACAGTATTTGACATGGCACAGCCACCATTTATCATCGACAGACTACACTGTCTTGTGCATTATGATTCGTAAAGGGGTCTTCAGTACACCTGTGTCATTTCTCATTCCATATGTTTCTTATTTTCTTTCTTCAGCTAGAACGCACCAGTTAGAGCATTTGCAGCCTACACTTTTCATACATATGGACAAAATACAAATTACAGATTATCTTCAACCATGAATGGTCTAATTTTTTTTGTAGTAGAAATATTTAAAAAATAATTAAAACTCATACTCAATACCATAAAACAAAAGTAAGGCCTCATCTGTGCTTCCACCATCATATCAATGTAGAACTACCCAGACGCATCTAAGTTAAATATTTTATCCATGTAGAGCATTTCTTTAGATTGTGTTTCAAGCAAGATCCTGCAGGTTTTCAAGAAAGAACAATTGCATGTATACAAAAAGTTGTTTTCTCAGATTTTTTATTTTGAACCAAACTGTGACCCGAGAGTTTTGCATACAGAACCTAAACGTATCTGGTTGTGTTTTTTTGTCATTTGTCATACTTTAAATAGTGACAAATTGTCTTTTGCTTAAGAAATTTACATCAAGCTTAACAGTTTGTCTCAGCACTTTCCGTAGTACTGTGTCCATATTCCATATTTTTTCTGATTTCTGACAAACTGAAGTGGTTCTGTAGGCCAGGTTTGTGGAAGTATCAGTATTTTTTTCATTTTCGTCTTGTTTTTCCTTTCATTGTATCTAAAATAAAGGATTTATTGCAGAACGATTTTTGCATATAATATTTGATTTTAGCTTGTATGAAAGTATACCTTATGTAATTATTTCATACTCAAGTCAGTGTAAGGTTATAGTTAACCCCTTAAATGGCCAGGGCCCATCAGGGGGGGGCAACGTTTTATTACACATTCTGCAACCTAAGAATAGCTCAAACTGTTTGCATTGAAGTCCCTGTAGTTACTGAATAATAAGCCGTAGTATGTAATCAGCCTGGGATTTTAAGAGATTATTCAATTTTTTAGTACATATTTCTGCACCAACGTTGGTGCAAAACATTTATTAGACATTGGTGGTTAGAAACCAGCACTAAACGTATAATAGAGCGTTAGAGCTGTGAGGGCTAGCATTGGTACAGTGGTCCATAGTGATGCACTTATTCTAGGGTTGTTGGGGGGTCTGTTTGAGGAGCCTCCGTGGTGCTGGACAGTCTGATACTGAAGTTGCGCCGGCCCACACTGCCCTCGTTGTACACATTGGACCACATTGGTCTCACAGCAGGACGCTCTGTAGGTCAGCAAGCTCGTATTGCAGCAATTTTCATCCTCAAACAGCAAGACATTTGAGTAGAATGTCTTGTTGGGCTTGTCTGCGGTGACTGATACGTGGGGATACTTTATTCCAGTTCCATGTGCATCCATCACTGTCACCTCCCACTTAGCATCCCAACATGGGACAGGCCAGTCCAAACTTTCATTCAGTACATGACACACTGGTAGAGTGACATCCATGACCTGCAGAATATGCACACACATTATAACTTTCTCAAGCTTTTCAACTGGAGAAATAATGGAAAAGTTTCATCTAGGATTTCTCATCATCTGCTAGTCAAAGAGAACAGGAGAGAAAGAAAAGATTATTTATCATAAATGTGAGATGCCAGCAAATGGACAGTTGTAGCATCTTTGGGATTTTTGTAAGTCATAGTATTTTAAACAGCTCTGGCTCATTTATAAATAAGAGGGAATGTTTTCTGAATTTGCATTTGTGAACGTGATATTTTGCTAGAGAAGCATAGTAGAATTATTATACAGTAAATGGCTTCATTTGACAGTCATGCAATCCAAAAAGTTCATGTTTAAAAGCAAAAAAATCAGGACAAATGTTAAGAGCCATTCAAGTACATTATATCAATAAAACAGTAACTCAACCCTGAATAGAATTACCTGTTCTACTTTTTCAGGAAAAAAAAACAGACAACACAGTGTTTTTTAAAAAAGTAATATACTGTATTATTATATAATTTATTATAATGCAATTAATGCAATAATCCTGTGGAAAATGCCATTATTATTCAGTGCAGTTTGCCCATAACCACACAGTATGAGGGGTGGGAAAAATAATTTGTACTTCACAAATCAAAAAGTTGTGAATTGATTTACAAAATATCATATCAGATGAGAAGAAGAAAAACTGAGATAAACAGATACAATTAACAAAAAGATCAAATAAAACATAAAACATTGTTTCTTTTCCTTTTTTTCTTGTATTTTTTTAGGTTGCAATTTAAACCAATTAAATGCTGATACAGGCATATAGATTTAACAAGAGCTCAGAGTGTAGGCTACTTTCTAATTCACTGAACAGGACCCCCACAGGACCCCCACAGAGCAGATATTATTTGAGTGGTGGATCATTTTCAGGACTGCAGTAACCCTGACATGGTGGTGGTGTGTTAGTGTGTGTTGTGCTGGTATGAGTGGATCAGACGCAGCAATGCTGCTGGAGTTTTTAAACACTGTGTTCACTAACTGTCCACTTTATTAGACACTCTTACCTTGTCGGTCCACCTTGTAGATGTAAAGTCAGAGACGATAGCTCATCTGCTGCTGCACAGTTTGTGTTGGTCATCCTCTAGTCGTTCGTCAGTGGTGACAGGACGCTGCCCACAGGACGCTGTTGGCTGGATATTTCTGGTTGGTGGACTATTCTCAGTCCAGCAGTAACACTGAGGTGTTTAAAAACTCCAGCAGCACTGCTGTGTCTGATCCACTCAGACCAGCGCAACACACACTAACACACCACAGTGTTACTGCAGTGCTGAGAATGATCCACCACCCAAATAGTACCTGCTCTGTGATGGTCCTGTGGGGGTCCTGGCCACTGAAGAACAGGGTAAAAGGTGTGTGTGTGTGTGTGTGTGTGTGTGTGTTGGGGTAACAAAGTATGAAGAGCAACAGATTTTGAACAGCGTCAAATATCTCCTATTTTAACATTCATAGTAAAAATGAATTGCGTAACACTGCCATAAATCTAAAAGTGAACTATGTTGATTAAAAACAAACTAATGAAGTTTGTGACAAAAGTTGGTCTTCTGTCAGATTTCACATCAGTAAGTTACATTACTTGCCTTGAAGGAGAACTCCACCGATTTTTCAAAATGTCTGCATAATTCAATCTTTAAGATGTAAACAAAGTCAATTAGAGAGGTTTGGTGTGAAACACTCTGTTCTAGAGAAACTTACTGAGTCAGAATTGTTCACAGTGGTGGTGATAGGAACCAGACATCCAAGGCATTCAATCCCTTAAAAAGCTACCTCACAAAAAGTTTTTACATGAAGTTGTTAGGAAGATGTTGGTGAATGTTCTTAAGAATGAAATAATGAAATGTGAATAAAAAACACATTTAAGAAGATTTTCTGTCTTAAGACACTTTCGTGAATCCGGCCCTTGGTTTCTGTCACCACCGCTGTAAAAAAAAAAGCTGAGCTGGTAAATTTCTCTGCAGTGAACCACTCTGAATGACTCTATTTACATTTCAGCGATTGAATCATACAAAAATTGTGAAAAACTTGGAGTGGCCAGCAGAGGTCACTGTAGGTCTAGAAGAAGGGAAACCACTGGTGACTGAACATGCCAGAGACAGAAATGACTTTGAACATGCTTCTTTGCATGCTTCAGTGTGCACACGTTCAGAATAGCACATCAAGTTATTTATCGTAATTATCAGCCAAAATTTCAATAACAGACCAGTCATAATTATACATTTTTTTCTTTTTTCAGGAAATAATATGTTGGGCACTGACATATATATTGTGCATTCTTAATTATTACTGATTTGAAGGACACAATTACAGCTGCGTTATGTAAGCTTTTGGGGCATGTGGTATCCCCACATGGAATATGGGAATTTCGAGACCTCTCTGGTGTAAATGTGCAATTGCACACAAAGTGAGGAAAAACATTGGTTGTGCTTCGGACCCCTTCCCCAGGTGGATGAGTCTGATCATTGTGAGTGCATTGAAAGAGTACTCAAAGAGAACTTACTCAAAACTTGGTGGGCATCGTGTCTTCTAAGTATATGAGTGAATTATCTACTGTCATCATCATATCATTCATCAGTATGATGTTGATTTTGCATTTGAGACCTAAACATCAAGCTGGGACTTCTTTTTGAGCCTGTGCATGTGATGTTAATAGGTACGCCTTTAAATTACTATTTCAGGTTTTACAGATGACTCACAGCAGTGCACATCCAGCGTATATTACTGTGTTTTTTCTCCTGGCTCAATAATGCTACTTTTATCAAATTTAACCAAAACATGTAGTGCAGAGTTAAAGAATTTTGCTGACATAAAAAAGGGTATCTTAACATATGACTTTGGAACAAAATAAAATAATTTTGAGTCAGTTTAAAGTTATTGTCAGGTCGTTTTATTACCACATATTTCTGCAACATTGGTGCAAAACATTTACTGTATATAGGTAGTATAAATTTCAAATTGAACCATATTAATGTAAGAACAAAAATAATAACCTGACCTTAATTGCAATTAGCTGTTCTACCTCTTTGGAAAATACAATACAAATACAATACAGTTTGGTCATACTCACATAATACTATGCAAAATACAGTACATTTCTGACACAGAATAATAAATGACATTTACAGTTCAATATTAACACAAAGACAGACTGTAGTGCCTCCTTTCCAGGTTTAGCAGGAAAGTGCATTGAATGAGTAAATAAGCTGACATGGCTTAAACAGCATTGGAGGGTAAAGCGGTTTGTATGTGTAATTGGCTTGTATGTAATGAAACAACAACAACAACACTAAATGTAAACTAGTGCATTAGAGCTGTGAGAGCTAGCATTAGTAACATAGTCCAGAGTGATTCGATTATTCTAGGGCTGTTGGAGGGGCTGCTGGTGGTCTGAGGAGGCCCTGTGGTGCTGGGCCGCCTGATGCTGAAGTTGCACCGGCCCACATTGCCCTTGTTGTCCACAGCAGAAACCTCCACACTGGTCACACAGCAGGACGCTCTGTAGGCCAGCAAAGTTGCATTGTAGCCGTTTTCATCCTTAACCTGATCGATGATCGCAGTGGACGTCTCATTGATAGGTGTGTCCGGGATGGTGATGGATATGTGAGGATCCTGGAGTCCAGTGCCGTTACCATCCGACATGAGTAACGTCACCTCCCACGTAGCATTCCCACACGGGACAGGACAGTCCAAACTTTCATTCAGCACACGACACACTGGTGGAGTGACATCAATGTCCTGCAGAACATACACACATTATTGCAGTCATAAAGCGCCAGAATAGACATTTGTATGCAGACTAGTATGGAAAATTATGGAATTAATATTCTAAATCCAGATACTGTAACACTTTTTAATCTCACTTTTTGTCTGTATCAGTATTATTGTTCCTTTATTTTATTCAGATATTGATAATCTTTTATTCAGTCTTAATTCTTATATCATATTTTTGTGCCTTAATTTTTATACGTTCATGTTCAGAGGTTTGGAATCAGAGTTGAGAGATGAATTAATTCTAATATGAATTTATAATATGTCCTGCACAACTTCAAGGGCTTAAAATTATTAGCAGTACATAAAAAGGATGTCCTGTAAAGGATGTATAAACTTGTTTTCACTTAGAAAATCAACAAAACGTAACAGCGTTGTTCAAACTTTTGCATACGACTGTATTTC